AGAATCAAAGTGTCCTTTCACCAGTGGATCAGAGACATCATGCTGAAAATGTGCACATGTCTGCTACAAGCTAAGTTTGAAAGCAAACAAGAAGCCGTAGCATCCATTGACGAAAAAAAAAAGATTGGCTCACATCTCCTGTCGTAAATCCGCTTCAATTCCATCACATTGATAATTAACTATGATCCTCGATTAAAAACTGATTCAAAAATTGTCCTCTTATGACCAATTTACTTGCTTAGATTCTGAATGTGGACATCTGCTCAGGGCAGGGCCAGATCTATTCTAGTGCGATAAGAGGGCTGCGGGCCACACCAAAATCATGATAAACCTCTAAACTGTTATCATCGTAACAGGTGCTAAAAACAATAGAATACAAAAAACAAAACAAAACAGATAAAATAACTATAATATATGATTGCTTGATTGATTGGTTTTCGCGTGTTCAATAAAATCGGACAAAGTCAAAGTGGCCCTTGCATCCTTCGATTTGTATGTGGAAAAACATTTTGGACACCCCTGGAATAGACCTTTTACACCTTCTTCCTTTGTCAGAGATGGTATTGTTTAGTGACAGTTAAGGATGAAAAACATTCTCAACAGTTAAATCTTTTACAATGGTGACAGTTTGACCCTCGAATGGATTATGACTGGATGCATTTGTTCCCATGGGAACATTTTTCAAGCACCAACCCCAAATGGATTAGACTTCAGAGATTCTACTGTATCTTGTGTGAGGAGCTGATATCAATCCAAAGCTGACACATATAGATGTGTGGAGACAGATAAGCATCTGAGGGAAAAAAAAAAAGAAGAAAAAAACCACCCGAGTGAAAGGCAGTCAACCAGAAATGGGCAGCGATAACCTTTTATTTACAGTGACATCATGAACTCTGCGTACATGTTTTATCTGATTTCCCTTAAAGGGATGAATACTAAAATTCTGACCTACTCTCCATGGTACACAGACCATATATTTTAATCTCCCATACCACAAAACAGACATTTCTTGTGAGTTTATAATCCCTGTTTTCCAATTAAACTTCTGGGCCCACTGAAGCGAGACAGACACAAGTAGTAGAACTATGTTAAGTATGAGTCTGTGAGTGTGTGTGTGTGTGTGTGTGTGTGTGTGTGTGTGTGTGTGTGTGTGTGTGTGTTATATGGCTTGAGTTGCGGGG